ACCATACTTGACAAATAGTTAATGAGGTAAGTAAAAGATACACAACACTCCACACAAATAAATACTAGGAACAACAATATTCAAGTTAACTGACTTTATTTCAAATGTCCAGCAGTTTCATAGAATATGCAATGGTACTATATAACCAGACAAGTACAGTGGGGCCATTGGGGGAAGTCCCATTTCCTTAGGGAGATGGCTTACCCCCTTATGGACCCCCAGGTTTGTTGGCACAATGAATTCACGGTGACATTTAAAGTCACATGATCAGCATGGACAAGCTCGTTTTGTGCTGGAAAAACACATATCTATGGTGATCAAGGAAAAAATGTACCATGTTTGTAAAAAAATATGTATCTTGTGTGGTCATTTAATTTGGTTGAAGGTTTTGATTACCGGAGACATCTTGGTTTGCTTTGAGATGGGATAAGGCATCACTACAAACAGTTCCGATGATGGTCTTGTGTAAAGTGGAAGATCTTCAATGTCTACACAAAGTTATGTACTTTTCAGACTCGATTTCGATTCCTTTTGTAGGTTAAAGGAATTGCATACATAGAAAATTCATTGTTTCAGTTGGCTTATCTTTGGATTGAAATTGTTCAGACTAAAAGGTTTTCCCTGTATCTTGTATTTTAGCACACCCATTCAGACTCAAACCAATTTAAGTCTCCAGAAATCTAAATATTCTTGCTGAGAATGACCACAACTGCACAAAACAGAGCATATCCATGCTAGGTGTGGGGCATGACATATATTTCATTTAGAACTACTATTAATATGCGATCCCTTCCCTGGCTACCAGAACGAACTGAACTACATCAACAGATGGAATAGTTCATGCCAGAAATCAGGGATTGATGCAAAATAAGGTACAAAATCTCTTTAAACAAACTTGTGTGTAAAAACGCACCTAGAAATATAGAGCAAGGTTTGTAGAACAGAGTCTACAGTATTTGTGTAAAACATGCTTTGTTCATTTAATACTAAAAACATGTGACTAGATAAATCGTCAGAATCCCCATTCACATATAAACTACAAAAGCATTCATTTATAAAACATGTCAAGGCTTAAGCATATATATGTAGTACTGATATCAAATTTTATCATAATTTGTGTGAATCTCATGGACTATATTTCCTTGCATATATGATAAAAAAAACTTTTTTTTTCACCCTGTAAAAATGAGTGCATTAAAATTTAAACACTTTCAATATAATATGTTTAAAAAAAAAAATCTTCAGTGACGTGTTTCTTTGATTTCCCAAGAGTATTTCTTTGCAAACACTAAGACATGTGATAATGATAGCTCACTCAAACACTAACATTTCTTGAGTGTTGGTAGAAACACCCTAACATCTAAACTTATCAAACAAATACATGTAAAACTGCATAGATGTTTCAATATTACACTGATTACATAAACCGCAATAGAAAGACTATTGCACTGTATAGAGACCAGAGACCATGATACCCTTTCACCAATGTAGACCAGAATTGACTCGCCCAGATAAATGTATGGTAGATTCTACTTAAGTTACCTAGGGGTGAAACCGTGAAAGGGTTAAGACAGTCTAGTAAATACCATTGTTTATTGGGGCAAGCAGACATTTAACAGTGTGTTGAAAATCTTTGATAAAGATGTCTAAAAGATGCGACTAATTACCTTGGTAAGCTGACCTACATGTGTGAAATCTTTGGCAGGTCTCAAATCTCACCTGGTTTACATATCACTCTGCAGTACACTTTATTGAGGTTTCCAGTTATTGATGTTTCCCTACCTCCATATGAGCAAGTTTCCCCCCATATAAGGTAATAGTGAAATCCTCGAACATAAGTAGCCCCTCCCTCCCACCCCGACAAAAACAGCTACATGTACACACAAATACAACATAAACAGACAAATTATGATATTCTCATATAAACTTGCATTTCAATTAAAATTTATGCTTCGACAATGTTTACAAAAATATTAGAGTAAAGGCACCCCCTTATTAAAACCAATGACTGGTTATAAGGCACATTTTGGTTTTACCAGCGAACGCACGAAGTAGTGAACACAACCGCATTCAGCATTTAATCATAATTGTACAAGTAAACATTTCATCATGATCAACGTAAGCTGCTTAAAAGAGTTTTTTCCAAAGATTAAAAATATTACTAACATCCATTAATTTTAAGTCTCAAATAAGGCCTACACTAACTTCATACAGACTTGGCATCGACTGACCCGGGTCCTCAGAGACCCGGCCTTAAGTGTCATTTGCTGGGGTTTTGAAAATTCTTCGTTTCTGTCTATGGTGGTAAGCCAGAAGCTGAATTTGTTGGCGTAGAAGTGACAGGTGCCCTGGGCACCATTACACTCAATGAAAGGTGTGGCTCTGAAGTCCTCCAAACAACTTCCTGGGCTGGATAGGGACTGTCCACCACCACTCGGGCCAGCTCCAGTGTGCTGTGGAATGTCAAGGACATAAATAGTCAGTGAAAAGTACTCAAAGGTCAAGGTCAGAGGACAGAGATGGGGTACAAAAAAAATAAGGTTAGCTATCATTTAAGAGAATCAAAAATAAAACGTCAAGGTCAATTATCAGAGAGGAGACTCAAGAGTGCAAACAGGTCAAATTATATAAGATATAAAACATACAAATTAAGAAATTTAAGATGTGTTATAACTTTCCTTTAGTTTAAACCATTTTATTTGTGTCAATTAACATGTGCAAGTACAAAGACATTTCATTCTGATGATTGGGAAACAAGTACTTTTGTACTTATACATAGTCCTTCTCATCATTCCTTTGAAAATCAATTGTCTATGCATGGTTTAAAAGTGTTAAACTGTGAAGTGAGCAATGAGAAACCTACCATGGCAAAGCTGTATCCAATCCAGAGACCGTTCCAGCCAGTGGGGCAGTCTAGTATGCTGAGTGTCTGGCTGTGGACGGCGATGATGTTGGACGGAGCATCACACACCACACATCTACTGATGTACTCTGATAGTTTCCGCCAACCCACTGGCATCATGGGAAGGTTAGCGTTGGTGGCCAGCCAATAGGATTTGTCGTTACGGCTGGCGTAGTTATAAACATTGTTTGTATTTCAGAAGAGGAATAGCATGGTACTGAATCTTCTCATACAGGATCCAGCCAGACCTAGTAATCAAGGCAATAAAACATGTCACGGACATTTCATTTATGGTAAGGTCAAGGTCATTTTTACACAAAAATTACTGTAAATTCTGGTATCAATATAACATTACTAAATTCAGACAAAAACCAACATCAATATATTTTGAACAAGTTTAAGTTTAAGTAAATTACAGTAAAAGACCTTTATAATATGTGAAGTGCCAGTGATGTTATTGTAAGACTTAAAACA